TGAGAGCATCTTGACCAGCTGCATCACTGTCTGGTATGGCAGCACTACTGCTATGGACCACAAGCGCCTGCAGTGAGTGGTAAAGACTGTGGAGAAGATCACCAGGACTCCACTGCCCTCTCTGCAGAGCATTTACCACTGCAGGGTGCGTAGGAAAGCTGCCTCCTTCCTCAAGGACCCCACCCAACTCCAGCACAGACTGTTTGCCTTCCCCACCCTCTGGCCGGAGGTTCAGAAGTGTGAAATGCAGGACCACTAGACTGAAAAACTCTTTCTTTCCCTCTGCCATCAGACTCCTAAACAGCTAAGGAGTTTATTACCAGGAAATACGTGATGTACTGTCGACCTGTACTGTCAAACTCTCAGTTTGCACATGCATAATTGCGCAATGAATTTCATTGCATGGGGAAACATGTTTTCCTAACTGTGCATATGACAAATAAGCACTTTGAACTTTGAACTTGAAAAATAGTGTCTAATCATTTGAATGAAAATTGCTCATCTAGGACATAAACCAAAACAGTTTTCTCACTTCACAGTTTGCCTCTGCATTGTGTTACTTAAAGGGCTTTCAGATAAGGCACAGTATGCAATAAATATTTTTTGGGACACAGGAGGAGAAACATTAGTAGTAAGACAGAATAGTGACACCATATCAACTCTCAAATACATCTAAGTGCTAAATTGTGTTGATATCTCTTTCTTCTGGATTCACACTGGAGGCCATGCAACCAAAATGCTAGAGAGCAGTATGCATTTATGTTCTTTTTTAGCTCAAAGAATTAAACACAAAGCAAACTTTCATTCACCTCCATTGACTGTTCAGGGGGGTCTGTTACTTGAATACACCCTGAGCTGCCTTTTACCCTAACCAAGAGGCAGCTCCATGGTGGGATGAAATCTTTTTGAGTTATTCATCGGTGTGGTTGGTCATGTAATTAACCAATTCAGTTTTAAAGTTTGCCTGCAATGTTTTATCCACAGACATTTTCCTCTCATTACTTCATCTGCCTTGTCCATTTTCCCTTTTCTTTTACCCCTAATTGTTTTGTTTCTTCCTGCTTTAGCTTGTGGCCATACTTCTGTGTGACAACCTGACCTTGGTAGCTAAGTAGGGACAAGCCTGGTTAATACGTGGATGGGGGATTCCTTGGAATACCAAGTGCCCCAAGCTTGGGGCAGCTGTGGCTCAGGAGGTAGAGTGGGTCATCTCATAACTGGGAAAATTAAAACATTAGACATGATGTTGTTCACTACATGTGTCAGATCCCTTAAAGGTCAAATTCCACTTCAGTCTCCACATCCCAGCAGGTGACTGACAGTAATGATTCAGCTCCACCTGCTCTTACACAGCTACAGTATTACAGCGAGCACAGAAATTATTCTGACCCTTTCAAGTTTTCCATATTTTGTTATGTTTCAGGCCCATATGAAAAAACAATTTACCTGAAATAATTGAAATGCGGCTTCTTGCTAGCTCAGTTAGCATTTATGTTTATTGTGTTCATTCATGTTTTTGTATGCTGATCATTTGAGGATCATGTTTATACAATATTTTAATTACATTTTGATTGATTTAGTTTTTGTCCTCTCTCTTTATGTGTACTTCATAAAGATAGGATAAAAAGATATAAAAAGACTACCCCTGCTGCTGCACAAACTCAATACATTACCCCTTTTTGTTATATTACACGTAAATCTGCTGCTCTTGGTCATCTGCAATCAAGTCCATGTATACCTCACATGCTATTTGCACCTCATCACCAATGCCCTGGTGATGCTGAACCATCTGACAATCCCCTATTATTGTTTGCACTACTGTCACTGACTGTACACGGTTTTGAGTCATAGTTTATTGGCTGTACTGTTTAGATTTATCCTAATTGTGTTAATCCAGTTCTTATTCTATTCTATCCTTATTCTACTTTATTCTATTTTAGTTCCTAAATGTTATGACACCCAATACTAGGTGAGAGAGAAACAGTATTTCGATTTTCTGTATGTCCTGCACATATGGTGAATTGACAATAAAACCTTATTCTGCCCATGTAAAGTACTTTGGTCAACTGGATGTGCTATATAAGCAAATGTGATTTGATCCTGTTGCAGCTTCAGAGGAAGGAGCAAATTTAGGTGACAAATATAACATTAAAGACATGCTACCCTGAGCATTGCAACCTGGAGGCTGTCCCATCTGGCTTCATGGTCATTCAGTCTAGGAAACTAAAAGTGATTTTCCTTTAGTTTGCTGATGATTTTCTCTACAGAAAAATGTCAGAATGAGAATTTCCCAGAGTGCAGGCTGACATATTATTTTATTTGATGAATGGTCAAAAACCCTAAGACAACAGAGAACTATGGTAACTCTTCTCAAGTGATAACGTGAACAAGATTTTTTCACATTTTTGCTTGAAAAATTACATGAAAAGAAAAGATCAATTATTTATCACAATAGACGGCTTTTATTTTTATTTTGATCAACTAATCAATTCATTAGCTAAGTCATTTAAGTTCTAATTCTCTCATTTAGTACAACATGTGTGATTTCACAGTGACTGAAATGCAAAAGTTTTGTTCATACAGGTAAAAAAAAACCCTTTTTGTCAACAGCACATTATTAATGTAGAAGCCTGCAGGATTGATGAGTCACTGGGCATCGCCCTCCAAATATAGTCTAATGTTTTTTTTTAATTGCAACACACATAACACATTTACAGGGCAAAGGACATAACAAAAGACAAGAAAGCAAATATTAACAAAACAGACATAGGGATTATTCAATTTAGTTTGTGTGTGTGTGTGTGTGTGTGTGTGTGTGTGTGTGTAATTGACAAAAGGACCAAGAGAGTATTGGTAATGCCCGCACCAAAAACCACCAGCACCAGGTGAGGCCAACACTTAGGAAACTCTGGAGCAGCTCAGCAGGGTGAGGTCATCTAGGGCAGCAGGACAGCAGCATCCTTGTACTATGGTTAAGTTAAACCTTACCTTTGTTTTACTGTTCGTCATGGTTTATGTTAATAGTTGATTGTTGGGACTGAAACAGCTTGGGGTTGGCCCCTGATCTTGACAGGAGAGACCCACCCCAATGTAATAGAACCTTCAGTGACAGTACCTTCAGTAAAAGGACTGCACTGACAGTACCTTGGGTAAACGTACTGCGGTAATAGTACTGTTGTGCTCCAGTTCTTGTTACCATTGCTAACTCTGAGAGACGAGGCAGTCCAAGTAACTTCAAAACAGTGCTGATTTATTCAAAGGATCACAGGTAAAATTAACATTACATGCTCAAGTA